TCCTGTTTGACCCCAGCGCCTTTTCTCTGGGTGGAATCCAAGGCTTTCTTCCCAGAGATCAAAGCGATCCTTTGAGGCATTCAGTTTGGAGGAGACCAAGATCAGGAAGGGAAATGCTCTTGCGCATTTGATGGCTGTAAAAATCCCAAATTCCCAGAAAAAAGGCCAAGGAAGGCTGTGTGGCAGCCCGTTTGGCTCCAGTTCCTGCAGGAAAAGGCAGAACGCTGCCCTGAGTGACCTAAGTTTAACAATTAATTGGTCTTACCCTCGTTTTTATCATTATTTATCAGTGTGTTGCTGTTACGGTTTTTTTGTTCTCTGGTTTTTTGTTCCTTGTAAGCCGTCCAGAGACTTTTAGTAATGGGACTGCATAGGAAATCTTTAAAGAAATACGTGTGGTGAGGGACGGACCTTGACCTCAGGCGGCTCAGCTTTGACTGAAACTTCCTGCCGACATTCCTCAGTGTCCCCCTTCACCCTTCCTCCTGTCCCGCTGGTATCTTGGGATGACGACGCACAACCCCTTGGCTAGTTCATGGCCTTTGCAACAGGGCGGCATATAAATATTCTAAATAAAATTAAATAAATAAAATAGTTCAGTGTCAGCATTAACATTTTAGCTAAAGAGCGAAGCTGGATCCTGCCATGTGCTTGATTTTCTTCTTTATACAGTGTCAGCTTTTGGGCAAAAGTGTTGTGCAAGTTACCCTCTTTTATGAAAAAAAAAATTAGGAGGGGAATATTGCAAAATCCGGAAGGAAATTCCAGAGGGATTATTTCCGAGGAGACCGAGGTGGGGCTGGCGCTCGCCTGTAGCGAACTGCTTCTTTCAAAGCGAAGTGGGACCAGGCTTGGTGCTTGGGAGAAACCGCATTGCCAGTGTCGTTTTGCAGCCAGGCTGCTGAGCGCGCCTCCCAACCCTCCTCGCCAGTGAACAGCGGCCAAACGGGATACGCTTTCTTACCCACTTAACACCTCGTGGTAGAGGAATTTGGTTAAATGAATGTCCACATGGACATGCCATTTGTGCTGCTGTTCATCCCATCATCCATTTACATTCTATGCATTTGTCGACCGGGACGGTGACCGAGGAAACACACGTGACGTCTCCTTTCCGACTTGCATCATAGTCTGGAATCTAACAGGGAAGCTATAAGCGACTGACTCCTGTGGAGCATCCAAATTCCACCAATCTGCAGCTTGCTAGAATACTAATTTTATCTTGCATTCCAGGGTCTGGGGATTCCGGCCTGAGGGTCCTCGAATTCGCCCCAGCTGTGAGCTTGCGCACTCCCCCTCCAGGGGCCCTTCTTCGGGTGCTTGTGCAGAAGGAAACCCTGAAGCCGCAGCCAAAAAGCCAGCACAAAATCCCCTAATGCCTGCAGCCTTCGGCCTGGATCCAAAGCTGCTCTTCTGTTCTCCCACACGTGAAGGGGCGCTTTTCTCCAGCTTTCCCCAGGCAGCTGCTCCCACACTATTCCCAAAAATACAGTGAGAGAGGCGGGAAAGCCCCATTCTCCGGGCATGAGCTCTAAGAATGGAAAGTCTGGGTCTTGCTGCTTCTGTTTGCTGCTGTCACAGACTGGATGGTTCAGATACCCCTTTGGAGACCGTGGGTGTGCAGCTAAAAATGCAGTGCCTTGATCCTCGCAGTGTTTCTCATTCTCTAATTTTGCTTCTCCTGGGCTCGATTTATCCTAGGCTTTTTTTTCTGGATTGGAATGTTTGACTCGGCGGCGTGTGACATGATGCTTAATTCTGCCATCGTAGCTCAAATTTATTCAAACCAATTACAGCTTTTGCCTTACAGGTTGCGTCTCTGCATACCTCTGCCGACGGGTGCTAAGCTCACCATACTGTCCTGCAGCCCGGGGGAATGACTCCAGTATGTCGGGGAGGGGTGCTTCCGCAAAAGAAAAGCAACTTTTCTGGGAGGGGACAAGACAAGCTGTTGATTATCCCCCTCTTTAGAAAATATTTCCTCTGTTTTGCTCTTTTGCGCTGTTGCATAAGAACTGAGCAAATCGCAGCCTGGGGAAGGAATGTGGGTTCCACTCATAGTGTCCCCTGTGCTAGCGAAATGTCAGCAGCTGGCTGCTTATTGCCACCCTCCCCACGCTTGCATCGTCTGACTCTCCCCGCAATCGCTAAAGGTTCGCTGCAAGGGTCTCGTCGGCCGCCCCCAGAAACGCTGCCGAGCAGCTCTGTGCCAGGGCCTGGACGCTTGCGCAGGCTGGAACTTTCTCTTTGCTCCCTGGAAGGTGCAGCCTTTTCACAGGAGTTTCGCACTGCTGTGCTGCTCGGGCGTTTCACCCCTAGGAAAGAGAAATGAAGATGCACGGGGCTTGGATTTCTCCCCGGGTGACCCTAACACAAGCCTAAAGACATCCTTTAGCTTTCTGAAACTGGAACCTGGTGAGCGAAGCCCTGGCAATTCTGACTCTGGTCATGGACGCATAGTATTCTCCTATACATGTTTACTCAGAAATCAATCCCATTGTAGTTCATGGGTCTTCCTTCCTCGTAAGTGTCTTAAGGATTACAGCTTGGGAACAACTGGAACTGCAAATAGCATCCTTCCGATGCTCTTTTAGGATAGCCACAATCTTGCTGTGTCTTCCAGCACTATCACCCTTTCACTTGCCCGTGTTCATAGTAAGATAAACAACATCGTGAAGGCTAGTTAAATACTACGTTTTTAAGACAGCGAGCAGTGTAGCTCAGGAGATGAGGGGGGACGGGAATGGGGGAAGGTTGGCTTACTCACTTGCCAAAGCGTGAGTCCTTTGGTTTTGCCCAGCAAGGGCCTTCTCATGTTCATGTATTTTCAACTTAAAAGCCTGCTTTCTTAGGATCAAAACCCTCTTGTGATCAAAAGGCTGTTATCTCAGGATCAAAAGCACCTTTCTAGCTCGAGTGTACCTCCATCACTTGGGAGAGGCCTCTCTGTGCAGCTGGAAGGACGAGGCTTTCATAGGAGAAGCCGGGAACTAGGAGATCAGATTCCATGGCTGTGTACCACATGGCTGAAAAAGTAACCATCCCACCTTAAAAGTATGGGGTGACTGGACACACCAGTAAAGCAATCCATAATTCGAAATCCAGCAGAAATCAACAGCAGAAGCCTAACTAAATTCTGTGGGACCTCCGCTGAACCCCTTTGAACCTCAGCTTCTTTGCTCTCCGAACAAGTTTATAATCTATCTTTGAGGTATATAATCCTACAATGATTTTATTATGGAAAGCTTGTAAGGAACAGCAGGTGCCATTAATGCAATCACAGTAGACTACATCGAAGCAGAAAAGTCATCCAGACCTTTCCACCAAGCCTTTGGTGGGCCCCTCCCCGCAACATGGTCACGGGTGCAAAAGCACAGCTCAAGCGGAGACACCTTTCCCTGTTAATGTCTTTCTGAAATCGCTAGGAAGTACGTTTGTAGGGGATGGCTTGGGTTATCCTGGGAGTTAACTTCCAACGTAATACAGCTTCCCTTACTGGAAATGGGACTTTTCAAACATGCTTTCCTACGGAGTGTTTTCCAGGGGGTAGTGGAGGACAGGGGAACCCGGAGGAATGTTGTCCATGGGGTCGCGGACAGTCAGGCACAACTTCGTGACTGACCAACGACAGGGCGTGGACTGGGCCTCCAGCGCTTGTCCTGCCTCCCTACGGCTTCCCCACTCCGTGTTCCTTCCAGCAGATGCATCCCGCTGTCACTTCTGGGTTTGCACACTGTTGCAAAGAGACTTCTGGAGCGTCCTCAGAAAGGCTGGGCTCCAGCCACTGCTCCACAGCTTCCTGGCAGGGAGGAACTGCTGAGCCTCTTCGCAGTGGGTCGCAAGAGAAAGTAATATTCATTTCATTTATTTATTTAAAACTTTTCTAGACCATTCCATTACTGAAGTCTCGGGACAGTTTAACAGTACAAAATGTGAAAAAATACAACGCAGTGTCCTAAAACTCAACTAACAATAAAACCCCAATTAAAACAGTCAGGTCTTAAAACATTGAGAAAATAAAATGGTTTTGGCCTGGCGCCGAAAAGAATGAAGTGGTGGCACCAGGCAAACCTCTTTGGGGAGCGAATTCCACAATTGGGGAGCCACCACAGAGAAGGCCTTTCTCTAGGTAGTCACCCTCCTAATCTTCAGGGAGGGCTCCCGGAGAAGGGCCTCTGCCCCAGATCTGAAGGGGCGGGCAGGCACATAGGGAAGGAGGTGCTCCTTCAGGTAGCCAGGACCCAAGCTGTCATTGCCAACACCTTAAATTGGGCCCGGGCCATTGGAAGCCAGTGTAGGTAGAAAAGGACCGGTGTTATATGCTCATACCTTCCAGTCCCTGTTAACAACCTGGCGGCTGTATTCTGGACCAATTGAAGCATCCGGACTGCATGCAGGGGCAGCCCCACAAAGAGTGCATTACAGTAGTCCAGTCGGGAAGTTACCCGTGCGCGGGTCACTGCTGCCAGGAACCCCACCTCCCCATTCAGAGTTGTGCACTTTCCCCATCGGACTGGTAACACAACCAAGGCAAATCCCTCCGTTGGGAACCGGTTTGAAATACATTTCCAGCAGCCAACACTCTTAGACTGCAAGGTTTCCAGGCAAGTCTTGTATCTCCATGATTGTATTTTTAGTATGATAATTTAATCAAGCGTTCAAACATGTGCTTAATTCTGTCCAGTTTTGCATTCCTGAAGACAATGGAAAGGGACTCAATGTTTGGAAGGCACTGGCTGCATCCAAAGCATCTTTATGTCGTGTAATGTTACTGTTGCTATAGCATGACATTTCACCCTAAATATTTACCGAAAAAAAACTTACGATAGCCGGGAGACAAATAAAGTAATTTAAAAGGAGCACGAACAGAAGCACTTTCCACGGCAGGAAACTTTTCAAGGCCCGTCACCCTGTCGAAGCATTTGGCTCATGTAATTAATGTATCTTTATTATGAACCAGATATTTCCAGTTGTTTGATTCCTTGCGTTTTCCTCCCCAGCTCTCCATGAATTCCCTAACGACATCTTCACAAACGAGGACCGGCGACACGGAGCGGTGGTCCTACACGCCGTTTGTGTGAGTCATCATTTGCCTCTTCGCATACTGAACGTTGCCTTGATGTGCTCCTGTTGAGATTCTCCAGAACATGAAAGTCTAAATCAAGGAGTAAAACAACAGCCGTGATCATTGGCAATGTCAATTGGCAGTAATCCTCAGCTATAAACGCACTTGGAAAGAATAAAAATGTTCTAACTTTTCAGGGGAAACTGAAGAGTGAAGACCTGTAGCTGGCAGGACAGAATTTGCCTTAGTTTAGTGGTGTTCGCAGAAATACATCTAGGGAAGGGTTATTGTCATCTGTGCTGCCATTTCATGTGTTGTTCATGCCAAAATATTCCGTTTTATTGGTTAGGAACTCCCTGTACCTTGTTTGAATCCTTATGGGCTTCACCCTCAGCCATTCTGAGGACTTGGGTATTTTCTGATAATACCAGTTTGAGCACTGAATTGCAAGAATTCCCACGTCAGAGTGATGAGTCTTCCCTTTGCATGAAGAAAGAAGCCAATGGGAGAGAATGAATTCCCAGCTCCTTTCTGGATCTGCCAGGATTCAGATCACTAGCCCTCTGGTCGCTCCCGCGTTGCCCTTCAGGATGAGGGGCATTTGCTTACCGTTAATAGGCGTTTGGTCTAATGCGCTACAGCTTTGCTTTAAACTGGCATTTCTTTACATCTGTATCTAGCCACAGTCTCTCTTTCTTCCTGTTTACTCTAGAGCAGGCAGACAGAGTATGCCCTAGATCAGAAAGCGCCCCTGTTGCCTTCCCTAAGATCTCCGTCTTGATCAGGGCTGAAGGACTCTGGGGAAAGACCAAGTAAACAAATCCTTGTTGCAGCTAGATGTGGATTCCAGCTTGGCCTGGAACCACCCACGATGGCAAGGGGAAAGAGATGCGGCTCTCCCAGCGTGCTTTGGGACATGCCCTTCCCAAGGCAACATACTGGCTGGATTCAGATAACATGACTGTTCTTCCTGACTCGTTCTCTTTTACCATCGCTCGTCTGTTGTGTCGTCCGAACCCAGCCATGATCAGCTCTCTGTAAGCCATGTGAGCAGTGATCCTCCATTTCACCACGTCGCGTCCAAGCCCTGGGGTGAAATTACGGCAGAGTCCCTTGAAAGAGGTGGTCTGCCTAGGAACGAGCATGGAGACCAGTGAGGAAGAGGCAGATGGCGCTGGCAGGGAGCAAGGCAGCTTGGGGTGGAATGGCGGGTGCAGTGGCTCATGGGATCGGTTTTAGCAGTGGAGGACTGAAAACTATGGCAATAGAGACATCATTTGATCATGTTTCCGGTAGACCATGGGAAAAAACACGAACCATGCAGGGTTGCTTGCTGTAAATGGACTAGGGATTTTTTATGGGAATACAGACTGTATAGCACATTTTATCAGCCAGCCAGTCAGTCAACAGTGCATGTTCCGTGAACTCAGTCCACAGTTTGGAAGCCATTCATGTCCACAAAGGGCTCCCTCTTGAGTAGCCACCCAACTCCTCGGGTTGGCCGCTTCGCCAGAGGATTCTTGCCATCTGCCAAGGTTGGGTGGGGCATTTTGGAGGGCTTTCTCTGACAGTCGCCATGGGTTGAAGACAGCTTATATCCCAGCAGCCACGGTTCCCAGGACTTAAGATGCTGCGCACAATGGCCACGGTTAGCAAAAATAACGATCACCTCTTTGGATGTACTCTTGGGCTGCTTGAGGTCTCTTATTTCCATTTTTAAGTGAAGGCCTGTTTTTAAAGTAATGCTTTAGGAATAAGGGACAGCAAGTGAAAAACAGGGTGGGTGGCTGGGTGTGAGAGCCCCTGCATAATCCCGAGCGATCATACACAGAAGCATCTCCGTGGGATTAGTTTTAATTAGCAGATGTTTATGCTTTAGCAAGGATACAAAGCGAAAGAAGACCGCCGCCGTGGCCGAAGAGTTCTTGCAGCAGCGTTCTCCAACCCGGGGGGCTCCCAGAAGGCTAACTGTTAGCAGTGCTGGCTGGGGCTGATGGGAGTTGAAATCCAGGACATCTGGAAGTTGCCAGGCTGGGGAGGGCTGCTTTACATAGTTATATAGAGTATTGCTGGCACATTAGAATCGCGTTAAATTTGCTTTTGCTTGATAGCCCTATAGCTTGTCCAAAAGTATTGGAAAACCATTGTGCAGAAGGGTTAGAAATCAATCTGCTTAGCTTAAAGTAGTGCTTGGACTAAACTAAGCTTCTTTGGAAGACCTTAGCGGTTATAGGCAGCCTATAAATGCAAGCATGCATGCATGCATGTGTGTGTGGGTGTTTGTGTGTGTGCGTGTGTGTGTGTGTGTATAAATCAACCAACCAACCTACCTTTGGAAGAATTAATTAATGAGTCAGTTTTTCCCTCAGATGTGAATACCACAAACGTAAGGTATTTACCATGTTTCTATCATGCCAGAGACAAGAAGTGAGATGACTCAGTAGCAAAGATTCTTAATTATTCAAAGGGGGTCAAAGCTTAATGGTTTAGCCTGGGACTTCTGGACCACATGCCAGTATTCTGGACCGTTCCAACAGTAGTGCACGAAAGGAACACCCCCACCTACTCCTGGGAAGAAAAGACTCCTCCTAAGCATAGAGATGAACATTTATCACATTGTGGTTAGACACACTGTGGCTGCCACAGCCAATTTGAGAGTGTGTCGTTGGAACAGAAAGGGGCTGGTTGCCGTGCTTAGCTCGCACGAGAGATATTGACAGCTTGCGACGAAAGCCCACGGGGCCGCAAAAGCTTGCCTTTACACCAGGCCAAATGTTGGTCCGCCTGGAGTTGCAGCCACCTGCACTGGCAGGTCGCTCTCCAGGGTTTCTTTCCCATTCATCCCTGCTGAAGCCAGGGGTGGTTGGATGCACTGGAGCTTTGGCCCATCCCTCCCGCTGCTCTCTCCACTTCTCTGGCAAATGGGAACACACGGGTATGAGTGGTCACACAGGTGTCCCCTTCGCCTTGCGTGGAGAACCCGATCCATTAGCCGGAGTGCTTCTTAGTCTTCTGCCCAAGTCACGTTTGACCTTCCATCTAAATTAAATCAGTTTTTAAATGCAGGGGGAAGTAATGAGCTTTGCTGCCATTAGACTTCCTTTTGTGTCACTACAGGAATCTGCTCTGAGGTTTTATGGGGTGAATTATTCAGATCCTCGGGACTGTTTTCTCCACAATTATGCTGTTTGAATCATGAGGATTCAGTTCTAACAACTGGCCGTTAATTCATTCCTTGCTTATCTCTAGCGTCTTTATCAGGTCGCATTGAGTGGTTTTATTTTCTGGAAGAAAAGGTCATGTTTGCCGAGCGGCTTTGCTGTTTTCCAGCCTACAAGTTCCCATTAATATTTCTGTGGTGGTGATGCACTATCTTAAAATGGAAACCAAAATAAAATATTAACGGCTATATAAGTCTCACGGGTCTCAGAGATACGTTCCCTAAAAGACAGTGAAGTGCTGAACCGCACAATCTGACACTGATTTCAAATCCACGTGGGCGGCCTTCCAGTGGCACCATGTTCCTGAGGGCATCCAGGGCTCAGCCGGTTTCCCGGGAACCCTGTGGGGTGAGCCAGCCATGTGCAGGGCTCGCAGGTCCTCTCTGGGAGCTTACGGTTAGGGCTGTGTGCGAGGGCTGTGCAGGCTTTCTGTTTCAAGCAGCTGGAACTGGGGAAGGTGCATCGCCGTATCCCATGCAGCAGGATTTTAGGAGGACTGAGACCTGGCAGGAGCTTTTAGCACGGTGGAAGAGCACGCGGGTATTTGATCTCCCACCCAAAGAGGGAAAGTTTGACCCCGTGTGCTCTTTTTGCAAGCTTGAATTCGCTCTAGATTTGTGTATTGGGCGATCAGCCTGGGGAAAGGCGCCAGTTGGAGGACTTTTGCTGGGACAAGAGACCCGGAAAGCCCCCACAATGTCAAGTTCGCTGGTTGGTAGGGGCTGGATTTTGTCCTGGAAAACTCCAAGCAGCAACGTGGGAACCCGATGTCGTTCTTTGACTAGTGGAAGGGGAAAGAACTGACGGAGGAGTTTGCCTTACATCCTCTGGACTCCTGACCTGAAAGTGGCTCTGCAGGTCCCTCCAAGGCTGCCGCCGAGAGGAAGGGCAAGACTCTTCCTCCAGAGGGCAGGACATGGAATAATCTACTCACGTTGCAACAACCCAGATGCAGGCTGGACACCAGGAAGAGCTTCCTCACATGCATCTTTCTTCTTCCACCAAGATGAAATGAGGACATGGAAGTAGCCCCTTCTAAGCGCTCTCCCTCCTGTTTTCCCAGGCGGTCTACATGTTCTATGCATTGGCCATTGTCTGCGACGACTTCTTCGTCCCCTCGCTGGAAAAGATTTGTGAAGTGAGTATCTGCCCGTGCGGCTTCCTCAGGATCATTATCCGAATATATACCGGCAGTATTATCGCCTTTCCTTTCCAAGTGACCGTATTTGATGTGCAAAGGTTTCTCTGCATGGCAAACCCCCCGCTGCCTCCTCCATTTTCTCCGCACGAGAATCGGTGCATCCTTCACACGGAGGTGCCCTTCCTTCCTTCCTCTGCCCGCCTTTCTTTCCTTTCCACAACACAAGGTGGTACTGCAGTGCCAGACCCAAAATCCGCCTTTCCGGCTCTCCTTCAGGGACCTTCAGACGAGCCGGATCGCGCAATCGCCAGCCAGCAAATTTGGAGTAAAGTTTTTAATCATTTCTCCAAGTGTAGCTTTCTTGAACATCTGTAAAATGTCACTGATTTTTAAACTGTTTTTACTGATCCTTTTATCCTCTGCAAACATTCGTAATTCATTTTACATTAAAAAAAATTAAAAATGGTTTTTAGATGGGGCAACCGGAACTGCACATGGCATTTCAAAGCACCATCAACCGTCACCCTGGCAAATTTTTTTCTTTCCCTTTCCTAAGAAACTGTTGCATGGACTTTGCCGAAGGCTGCAACATGGCCAAGTTGGCAGTTTCATTTTCCATCAGCTGTATCCCCCCAAGTTCATTCCTTGTTTTGTTGCCCCCAGTTTGGACCCCTAATTAAGAGTGCAGTTTTGCAGAGCTTCACGTTTCTATATTTATAAAACTGGACTTGTGCAAGGTGTGGCCGGGTCAAAGAATGTGCATCAAGGTTTACATTTGAGAATATTTATTCAAAAGTTGTTTGAAATACTGTAACGTGTTTATCCAGGAAGCCGTGAGTGGACGGGCTGATGATGTGATTCCTTTCATCAGCAGCCAAGCAGATGAAGGTGGTGGCGATCCTGGTTGAATAACAGCATAAATAATAATAGTTCAGCTTGCCCCGAGGTGTTCCAAGCATTCGCGATGGGCCGGGTGTGATCGGGTGCTGATGCCCAGCAAAGGAGGCAGAACGGAGGAGGTTCCGTCGGGGGATCCAACTGTGCCCCGAGCCGAGCGTCGTGGGCCTTGTAAACCACGACGGGGCCGGCATGCAACCCCCACTGGGGAAGCGTGGGTCAAAACCACGGGGAGGAGCCATGGCAAAGCCCTCGTGATGCATGAGCTAACGTGAAGATGGAATGGCTCACCCCCATGCAGGCTTGTCCACGAGTGACTCCCGTTCCGTCCCGTGGGGCTCACCCCCAAGTGTGTGTGCGGGAGAGCATCCCTTGGCCGCCCCAAAAGAAGGTTTCTTGCACGCCTCCTCTGGCGTCCTCTGACTCAGAACGGCATTGGAAGAAGGACTCAGAGGAGAGGAGAGGAGAGGAGAGGAGAGGAGAGGCCAGGTCGCCACTTCTTTATTTGGCGCGTGTCTGCTCGGAAAGAGGCCGGGGGTCACCGTGACGCTTCCGAGCAGGAGGCAGGGCAGCCTGCCAGGGCTTCTGTTCTGTTTTGCTTCTGACAAGATGTTTTCTCTCCCTTCGCAGCGCCTGCACCTCAGCGAAGACGTGGCCGGGGCAACTTTCATGGCTGCTGGCAGCTCTGCCCCAGAACTGTTTACTTCTGTCATAGGTAACTAACTCATCAGCCTCTTGCTGTCAGTGGGCAGCGGTGGGGCGGCTATTTATAGTTTTTTCCCTGTCCTGTAAAGCTGTGCATGTGTGTGAAAGAGGGAGAGGAAGGAGTGGGGGAGAGAGAGAGCTGCTAGTCCCAATAGATCAACAAACCCACAAGATTAACCCCAGAGCCACGAAAAGCAGCAGGACAATGGAAGGAGCTGCCACAACCCCGTGCTCAAGCCCGGGGAGTTTGCCAAAGTGCCAGCCCAGGACAAGCTGGAAAAAGGTCCCTTTGGACCGACGCACGAAAGGTGCGCTGACGGGCAAGGTCCCGCCCGCGTTTGCTTGATGAACACAAAACCCCGCGAGTCGGAGTGGCTTTCCTGTCGAGAGAGGCTGGCCGGCCGGCGAGGGCAGTGGATGGAGGGACTGGCCTTGCAGCTGGAGCTTAAGGTGGTGTGTGGTCAGACGCTCGGGAGAGCTTTGCAGAGATGATGGGCAGGGTAGTGCCCGTCCGTCTCCCCGGCGAGGAGCACGTTCCTGGGCTTCCTGCAGTTCCTGGCACGTCCACACAGCACCTCCGGGGGCGAGGCAGGCCTGCGAAGGTCCCCCGCCCGAGAAGCTCCAAATATGTACTCCTGGGACGGAGAGCAGCTGCCTTGCTCTTGGGCAGGTTCCTACAGCCTTGTTTTCCTTTGTTTCATCTGTGGGAAGGCAGGGCAGAGGAGGAATGGGGAGCGGCAGGACCCGTTGCCCTGGGTGCCCTCTGCACCCGGAGCCCCTGGAAGGCCGGGCCAGCACCGCCTGCTTCAGAAGCGCGCCTGCTTTCCTCTTCAAGGGGACCTGCTCGCCAGCAGCAGCGCTGGGAAAGGCACGGGGAGAGTGGCGACGCCAAGGGCTGCTTGCGCCAGGCCAGGTTTCGCTCACGAGGCCTGGTTGGCAACTCTGGGGCTCGGTTACTGGCATTTTTACTCCCGAGCGCTCTGGACCCCGATCCAGATGGGACCCTAGTGGGCAGGTACGGGGAAGTCGACCCCTCCCCAGCACAGGTGAGGGCCTCCACGTTGGCCATGCCCCCACCTCCCTCCTGATGCCTAGGTGCTCCTCATGGGATTCTCGCAAAGGTCTTTCGGCCGCTGCTTCCTTCCCGCACGAGGTCGAACCAGCATTTTGCACGGCTGATCGCTGTCACGGCCGGCGGAGTGCACAACGGTTCCTTGTCATGCTTAGCCCCAGGAATGGGCAGTCGCGTTTTTTGCTCTGCCCTCCAAGCACGGATGCACTTCGATCGCACTTGCAAAATGCATTTCCCGTACAGAGCCCTAAAGACTGTTTATGCCATTCCAATAACCTGCCTCTAACTTGCTTTTCATAAGCCATTTTTGCCACAAATCTGGCTTGTCCATACCTCTTCATGGATGGATAAGGTCGCAGTTGTTACGGATTAATCTGGAATTCGATTGTGATTCTGCGTCCATTATCCCGCTTCATAGAATCATAGGATAGTAGAGTTGGAAGGGGACAGAGTGTCACTGGGTTCAACCCTCTGCTGGTGCAGGACACCAAGTCACACCACCCCACTTGGACAGCTGCCCAGCTGCATCTGGAATGCCCCCAGAGTGGGAGAGCCCACTGCCCCCCTCGGTCATGGGTTCCGTTTTCCTACTGCTCTGCCATCCGGGAATTCCGTCCCCTTGTCAGCCGGAACCCGGCTTCCTGTAGCTTGCAGTGCGCTGAGCGCATTGAAAATTCTCTTGCGAGGCGCAGCTTTGAGCTGCACTGTGGAATGCGCTGCACAGTTGCCACCAGAATTGGAGTGCCCCTTGGTCAGCTCCTGGCATTCCAGCCAGGCTTGGCCTGCCAAATCCTAAGGTACTAGTGCATGTCAGACCGCTGCCAGGAAGAAAGCGACTGTCTTCAGCGCTCCCCGTGCCAAAACTAAAGCTCCCTAGAGGCAGAAACCCGCATAACTGGGAGAAGCGGTGACTTCCCCACACTGCCCTTGTTCATCCGTGCAGAGGGCTGGCTGCGTGTGCATTTTGGTCAGTGGGCGAGCCTTTGAGCATGGTGTTCCCCCACCACGGACCCAGCCATCATGGGAAGGATCTTGGATGGGCTTCTCGTGAGGGGGACCCTCCCCACTCTAAGTGTGCCGCCATTGCTTCCTCCCCAGGCGTGTTCATCACGAAAGGAGACGTCGGTGTGGGTACGATCGTTGGCTCTGCCGTGTTCAACATCCTCTGTATAATTGGGGTGTGTGGCTTGTTCGCAGGGCAGGTACGTGAACGCGCGGGGTACAGAAATGCCTCTGAAACACTTTCCCCTCCACGACGTGTGGCTCAGGGTGATCGTGGCCCCCTGTGGAAACGGAATGGTGAGTCTGCCAGCTGTGAGCTGGGTCTCCCTGGCGCACGTCTTATCCGGGCCTCCCATTATCTCTAGAGGAAGGACCCCCAGCAGAAGCAACTCGGTGGGCCAACCACCTGGAAAGGTGGAATCGTCTTCGATATCTACATGTGCATAGAGATGGATGTGGATGGGATGGGCCAGAGCAGGAGCTTGGAGCTTAGCTCTTGCCTTCCATGTCCCAGGGTCCCAGTCCACAGGCTCTCCTCTGGAAAAGCTCCTCTGCGGGGAGGCGGCCAGTCTGCTGGCAATACCAGACTGCATGGACCCCCGTCCCACTTGGCGGGGGGCAGCTCCCCACGCCCCTGCCTAGCCTCGGCTAATTGAGGTCCGTGCACCTTGAGGGATCGCAGCACCAGAAGACGCTTCGACCGACCCGCAGCGGTGGGGATGCACGTGCCAGCCGGGCAGGACTGGCTCCCTCAAAACCGTTGCTGCCTTCTGGCCCTCGTGCCTCACCCTCCCTCCGAGGGGCAAGTCTGCTGGTCTGGGTGCGGCGGGCCAGGGTGAGCTACGTGGGGCCGGCACAGAGAGCACGGTGCTGCCGGTCAAGTCCAACCCAGCTTGGTCTTCTCCGTTGACCCCATGGCTGCCCAGAGAGAGCAGGGGCATTTGGGGAGAGGGCAGGTGCGCCACAAAACCCCAGGGCCGTTCTGAAGCCACGCAAACGTCCCTCCCCTTCTCTGGGGTTGCCGTCGGAATCGCCAGCTCGGCACCCTTGCGGAAACCAAAGCGCCGTCCCTCCCCAGTGCCGGCAACTGTGCTGAAGCTTTACGTGTCCATAACCGGAAAAATGCACCCAGGGAAATTCAGAGCACGAAAGGGTGAGGAGCTCAGAGGAAGGGAGGTGCGCTGAGAGGCACGGACGCCCCTCATGGGCAAAGCGTGAAGTCGGGGAGCGCTGGGAAATGGTTTCAGTGTTATGCCTCGTATTCCACATTTTTGCATCCCTAGGCAAGGTGTTCTGGACACGATGGGTTTATTTGGATTTTGATGTGGGGGTGAGGCAAAAACATATTACCTAGTTAATAAAGCGGATGCAGGGTAAATGGCATTGGTCGTAGCAACGTGAGTCAGGCCGGGGGGGTGGAGAGGAGCTCAAGGAAGATGACTGTCTATATAATATGCCATCTGTCCTCTGGACCGCCTCGGTCAGACCGCTGTAATCGCTGCAATTAGACAAGAGTCATTCCACAGAGCAGTTTTAATCTCATGGAGGGGTGATTTAGTACAGGCATAGAAATAGTCTATTAATTACGTTACCTTTTAAAAATCAGGAACAGGTATGGGCTTTACGAGAGAGAAAGGCTCCTGCTTTTAGTAAAACCAGTGGTGGTATTCAAGTTTGGAACTGGAAGGGAACTGGAAAACAAATTCACTCTTCCCAGGTTTCTCTGTAGTCCTTGCAAACAAGCCACGCACAAGCCGCCATGTCTGGTTTGCATGCTATTCCGGAAATAAGCCACTGGGAGCTACTGAACAGCAAGCGGCTTCGCTTATGTTAATAAGCCACTCTGAACAAGCAAGGCTGATGAAGCATGCTAGGTTCTTGTGTCCGGGTGACCAGGTTGTGGGTTAGGGTGCCCATTAAAGTATCTATTCATAAACAAAGAATTTTAGAGACCAATTTAAATATGAAACTGTTGAACTGCAGTCTATCCAGATATTCAGCTCCATCGCCTGTGCCTTGAATGGAGACAAAGTCTTTACAGCGTGCCACAACTGAATTCAGACAATGTGGGTTATCGTGCGGTATGAATCCCGCTGGGATGACAAACCATGGCTTAACCAAGAACAACCCATGATTCACAAGCCAGTAACACAAACCATGGGTTCTTCCTTTTTTAATTTTTATTTTCCCAACATATACAATTGCATAGTAAAAAGAATACAGAACAGAGCAAAAGAGAAACTAACATAAACAGAACCATGGCTCCTCTTTATTGACATCAAGCCATGGTTTGTTAGCATGTGATAACCCAGGTTTAAAGAATAGCCCATACTCAGCCCTTAAGTGGGAGTATTGTACTGTCTGAATCCAATCTACACATTCACTAATGCAGGTTTATCCATGTTATCACCCACCAACTCATTTGCAAATGCCGTTAAAGTAATTATCACAGTCTAAACTTCTTGCATTTAAATTTTCTCTGACTGCACTGTTTATAATTCTCATCCACAACCAGGTGCATAAATACTTGCCGACAATGAACTTGTTAGATTTCAAGGTGCTGCAAGATTGTTTTCTTCAATTCTAAAGTGATTCCCAACAGCAGCAGCATCTTGACATCCTCAAATGATAACTTGCAAAGAGCACTAATATTTATGAGTTGACTGGCCCTACAAGAAAGGAAAGTATTAGCAGGGATCTTTCTACCCACCGTTGATATCTACCTGCCAAAGGTTTTCCTCCAGAAATCCTCCTTCCTTTCTGTAGAACGTTGATCCTTCCCTTGGAGAGAAGCTTAGGTAAGGCTGACGATTACAGCTCTCGGAATGAGCCGACCCAAAATAATTTGTTTATTCTATTTATATCCCACCTTTTTTCCATGCAAGGAGCTCAAAGTGGCCCACATAATCCTCAATTTTATCCTCGCCACAACAACCCTGCGGGGTAGGTTAGGCTGAGAGTCTGTGCCTGGTCCCTCCAGCAAGCTCAGTGGCAAAGTGGAGACTCAAACCCAGATTCCCCAGGTCCCCAGTGCAGCACCCAAATCCTCACACACGGCTAGGACTGTGCCCATGATGCACCTTGATACGCTCTTGGTGCCATTTTCCAAGGATCCTTGAAGTTCCAGTTCCAGGAATTACAACTGCAAGGAATCCAGACTGGCCTAGTCCTTGAGCCGTGCTGGTTTGTTTGCTTGTACAAGCTTCACCCCCTGCAAATGGCTTTTGGGTGTGTTTGTTTTGGTACATAACACTCCCTAAAAAACCTGATAGCCTCTGGCGCACTCGGTGAACTGCCTGTTGTAAACAGTTCCTTCCTTCTCAGTAAATAAAATAGCCGCTGTGTCATGCCGTCTTCTCAGAGGTGATCAGACAGAACTTGACTTCAGCTGCACTCCAATGGAGCTACTGAAGTTGCTGGAAAAAGTCAACGAACGAGCCCTCCCTTGGGATCTGTCTCAAGGGAAACAATTCTGGGAAAGCGCAACCCGCATGCAGGCGTGTGTGTGAACGTGCGTGCATGCGTGTGCCGGGGCACCCAGGCAGGTACCAAGCTGCCACCCGCTACACATCTTCGTGCAACAGCAGGCGGAGGTTGGTTGCCGCACGGCAGAGCAAATGGAGGGTCTGCATTTTGGAAAGGTGTCCTAGGAGAACCATCTCCCAATAGCAGAAAATTAAAGTAGCGCAACAAGAAGGAATTTGGTCTAGAAATGTGCTTGCGGCTGTACTAGAGGGTTAAAAAACAGAAACTTTCAGGGATTTTGTGGCACATTCAATCCCTATTCAAATAGAGACAATCCTCTGGAAAGCACAACGTAATAAAGGCTCTTCGTTGGAACGCTTGTGTCCCAGCTTGCTTGGCAGCAGGGGACACCGCAGCAATGTCAAGCCACCAAAACACTTGTGTCCCCCAGGGCTCGCACAAGCCACAACGGGCAGGTGTGAGTGTGCAGTTGTGTGTCTCTGTCCCCCTCGGAGCACCCATCAGCTGTGAGTTCTGCACCTCCTCTGCATCTAAGCCAAAATCTACATTTGCAAACCCGGAAGGCTAATCCTCATCTGTGCAGTGGCTGACCTGGGTCTAGGAACCTTCACACGAACCTAATCTAGGCGCTGGGTGGGGCAAACCTTTGTGGACACTTGGGCTGGAGGTCTTGTGGAATGGGACTGAGCCTCTGAAGTTTCCTGGCAGGGATTTAGAAGAAAAATGCTCTTGAAAAGTGAGCATTGCCACCAGTAACATGTTCTAAAAGATGCCCACAGGCTGCTTGCTCACATCGGTGCTGCCCCGACAATGGTCTCGCCTCAATACGCCCATGATCGGTGAGCATCTAGATATCTCCTTTTGCCGGGGACGGGCTCCCAAAGTTAAGCTTTTTATACCTGGAGGGACACAACCCGCCTCACTGGGGGTGCAGTGATTACAGAATTCCCTGATCTCCAGGGAGACGCAACTTTCGGCTGCTGCTGTGAACCAGGCTGGGACAGAGCCGTTGATTTTCCTCCCGCTTGCCTTCGCAGATCATTCAGCTGTCTCCGTGGAGCCTCCTGAGAGATTCCTCATGTTATACCTGTTCCGTCGTAGCGCTTATTTTGGTAAGTGCCCCGTGGTGCCTGTCCTGAATGTGGGTTTCTTGGATTTCCCTTGCCAATCCCGTGTGCTGCTGCCTGTTTCAAAACAGCCCCGTTTCCCCCAGATATGTTGTTTTCTGTAGCATCCCATTAAAAGAAAGTGTGTCTTTGCTCCCAAAGAGTTCCTTGTTACTGTGACAATTAGCTCCATAGCAGGAACCCTGAAATAATAGTGAAAATCTGGACATGGCCAGTTGCTGTTTGGGCCCCATGGTGTGATTCCCAGTGGGAGGCGCTTCTGGGGAACTTGTGGGCCTGGGCCTTGCGGTGGGGGGCAGACAGGTGGGTCCCACCTTCGGCAGCACCGTGGCAGTGCCCAGAGATGAGAAAGGTAGCGAACACCCGGTCTGCCCAGGATTCCTCCAGATCCGAGCTGGGTTGCCGGCTGACTCGCCACCCTTGCCGTGCGAGGAAGGCCTCTGAGGAGCTGCTCAAGGACAGGGGAAGCTGAAAAACCGGACTTGGTGTGATCATTTCGAATGGCTTATGAACCGAATGTGTTGTCTTGCTAAGCCCTGAAGCCGACGTTTATTTATAGTTTCATTGTCGCATGTTCACAGCCCAATAATCTTTCGTAGCATTTGGTCGACTCTTGCAATTGCTATATGTGTTCCTGCAAGATGCTGTTAGCGGTTATTTCGGAGGGGAGGCTGCGCTAAAAATAAAGGGGATGAATCACGGCAGCCGAGCTGGAGAGTTCAGGCCTCCCTCACTCGCGGCGGCGCCCTTCTCTCTCCGTCAGTCTCGCCTGCAGCTCTGCCTCGCCTCCCTGCGTGGAACTTGCTGGTGAGCCTGAGGCGCCGGATCACCCACGGCATCTCGTGTCGTGTCTCCAGGAGCAGGGAACCTGCAAAATCCCGGCTGCTGGAGAACCCGACTGAGCGCAGAGGCTTTTCCGCAGCAATCGCCTGTTCCTTGCGGGCCGCAGGAAAGGGCGCCTTCCCCAAGCTGTTCCCTAATGCAGTGTGACGCGATCTGCCGGCATTTGGCCCATCTGGGGTGGTCGGAAACAACCAGGAAAGCCTGGGGAAGGATTTGCATTCTTCCGGCCCGACGTTGCCTCCTCACGTTTTGCCCTGGCACCTTATTACGGCGCAGACGCACCTCTTCGGCTATAAGTGGCTTCAAAATGAGGCCTCCCTTGGTGGGTGGGAGCTGAGCCAGCGGAAGAGGTGGCCCCGCACCGCTCAGCCTCGCGAGGAGCAGAAGGCTAGAAGGACGGCGGTGCAAACACGGCTCCCCAAACTAGCCAGGCGGCCTTTGCGGTCGAAATTGCAGGGAGAGGAGGAAAGGCAAGCCGTGGCACATGGTCTCAGCCTGGGGCGGCCTCACCTGCCTCTTCCTTCCAGAAGAGGCAGCGAGCTTGAGCCGACCCACCCGCCCCAAAGGACGGTGGGCAATCTGTCCAGGATTTCCACGTGTTCGTGCTTCCCCCTAGTAAAAGCAGCAATGCTGTGGGAAACCCTCATGGATCGGGATACGCTATGATATTCCCTGGGCCATCAGGCAGCAGGTGCCATGACCGCAGGATCCAACCACTCAGTCCCTACTGTAGCAGAAACCATCTTCCGCGGCTTATCCCGAGGCGCTGAGGGAAACGTCTGTCGTGCCTGTTGGAAGAGCGTGGCGAAACACAACACGAAACTCCTGGCGTTTTGATTCTCACTTAAAAGCCGCTTCGGAGGATGCCAGCGAGATCAGAAGAGGGCTGCTGAGGGGTGTGGCGCTTAGTATTTCTTCTCCCCCAAGGGGAAGGCATTAGTCCCCCCTCCCTCCGTGCCGCTCCTCTGAGCCACTGCCTTTCCTGCGCATGGATGCTGCAACAGAAGAGTCTCCGGACCCAGCCAGAGAGGGTGTGTGCCGTGGGGACTGGCCCTAAGCGCACCTGCGTCTTCCAACATCTCGGGGCCCTTGCCTTCTCCAGAGGAACTGCATTGCTGCCTCCAAGCAGCATCCTTCAGGCAGGGAAGCTGGGGCTTGTTTGCAGAAAAGCCGACGCGTCTGTTGGCAGTTGGGCACCTGGAAAGGTGATTGCCGGCCAGGTAAATGGGCACCTGGGTGCCAGGAGAGGGGAGTCCTTTCACAAAGCTTGTCACAGCACGTTGGTGAATTGCTCAGGTGCCAAGTCCCTGGCATTTAAATCTGGGAAAGGTAACGGCAAAATGCAATGCCACGCTCTTGCCTTTGCTTCTCCACGTGGCGTTTCAGAACCTGGGCAGAGGAGAACCATTTATTTTAAAACTGGCATATTGTTAGGGAGCTAAACTGGAAAGTGTGAAAGGGATTGCTACTCCTTTTCAGTGAACTTGTTATGTTGGTTCGTAAAAATAAATTCTTGCATATCATAAACAGCGATATGCTGCGGATGTGGAAAAGTTGTGCTCGCTGCAGGAGGGAGGATAACTCCGTGCATGGCAATTGTGATAAGAGGCACTAAAAGTCTTATTTTCATGCCCGGCACACAGGCAGCCAAATGTGTTAATGCTGCGTTTTAATTTTTTCTCCACAGTTTATTTATGATGAAAAAGTTTCTTGGTAAGTAGTACAACGGGCGCTTTCTGACAAACACAAACAAAGGTTCTCCTGGGCAACCTGGCCAGCCATTTTCTCTCTCTGTGGGAAACCTAAATAATTAAGTGACTCATAAATCTTTTTTGTGTCGCAAGAGAAAACCTGCTTTTTCCAGCACTTTCCTGTCAGCCAGTTGTTCTGCACGCCCACACACAACTTGGAGCAGGAATCGCGTGGGTCCACACTGCCATTCTTGTAGCCCCGTTGCGGGTGCAGGGGGGGGACACCTCCAGAAATGCCTTCCCGTGCTGAGCCATTGCTGTGCCTCCTCAGGCATCCACGAATGCTAGCGATGCCTTCTCCACCGCTGGAAATCCCTGCGTTCCGTAGGGTCGCCGGAGTTGCTGCTTTGGTGGGTCTGGGCAGGTTTCGAAGCACTGTGCCCATCACAAAACCTGGTTCAGTAGAAAGTGCGTTAGGAAAAATTGAATCTAGTACCCACAGGCCATCAAAGTACATTGCAAGTCTGTCATGCCAGGCCTCCCAGACCCTGTTGCCTGTGCCCAGCACTCCTAGCAGTGGGGCAGAGGGTGGCGTTCGAGGAGGGGAGAATTGTGAGGATGCAAAGAGGACAGAAGTGACGTGAGCAGAAGAGGTGGCAGAGAAGAAAAGCAAACTGGGTGGAAAGGTGGAGCTAAGAGGCAGTGCTCCGCAGGAGAGCAACTGAGAGCTAGAAATGTGTTTATTTATTAGATTTATATACCGCTTTTTCTCCCCCTCCTGCAATGAGAAATGACACCTTATTGCTGATGGAGGTGTAAGCGATCACTCCCTGTCTGGCTAGTGGGGTTTGGCTGCAACGCTGCTCATGAGCTGCTGAGCCAACAATGCAAAGCGTGATCTGGCCAAGGTTCGAGCCCCGGCGAGGGTGTCATGGGGGCAAGTTGGGGTCACAGTTCGAAGAGCAAGTGCCACGCAAAGAACTGGGCTAGCCAAGGAGCTGTCCAGCAAAACCTGAAGTGGCGGAGGACGGCATTGGCCAGGAGGCCCAGGGAGCTGCCCAGCAGAGTTCCTTGCTCTCCCAAGATGCAGTGGGGCAGGGCGTGATGCTCACAGAAGGCTGCGAGACGCCAGTTGGGTCCCATCAGATCAGAGACCAGTCTGCATCCGGACCATGGGGGGAGAGGAAGTTGGAAGCCTCGAGCTATCACGGGCCGGCACAGCAACCTGCATCACCCTCCCTACACTTACTTTAGAGTAAACCACCAAGATGCAGCTTCTGGTTGTGTCCTCAAAGTCTCCAAAGCCCAGCGCAACCCTCGGTGCGAGCGCTTGAGGGAAGGCCGCTTGCCAGCTCCATGGAGGCCTGCCTCTGACTTGTCTCCTCCCGGTTTGCTTGCAGGTGGGAGTCCTTAATCCTCGTGGTGATGTACGCCGTCTACATTCTCATCATGAAGTGAGTATCCCGTGGCTGGTCAAGGTTACTTCAGACCGATCCTTAGAACCTTCTAGGAGATGAAAAGTTAACGGGAAGGATCCAAAGAATGCTGTGTCCAGAAAGAGGGGTTTTTGGTTGGGTTGGGTTTTGATAAATCAGTTCTCCAGTTTCCGAAGTTTTTGCCCGAAAAGCCATATTCACATGTCTTGGGGAATTTGAGATGTTACCTTTTCACCCCCCCCCCACATTCCACTCAGAACCCCTTCCCTTAGTACCCCTTCCAGGAACCTCAAGCCTCAAATGATCATAGAGAAACTGAGGCCGGCAGAGGGGAACTGGCTGGTTGGTTCAGTGGTTCAGTGTGAGATATTGAAAGAACTGGGCATGTTTAGCCTCGAGAAGAGAAGGCTGAGGGGAGGTAGGCGGGTGATCTACAAATGTGTGAACGGCTGCCATGAAGAGGAAGGCGAAGACTCTTCTCATGCATCCCAGAGTGCAGGGTACGGCTCAGGCTGCAGGAAGCCAGGTGGAGGTTGGCCATCGGGAAGAACTTCCAGCCTGTTCGAGCCGTAGGGCAGTGGCACCCATGACCGGGGGAGGCGGTGGGCTCTCCCGCACTGGGGCACCCAGGGTGCAGCAGGGCAGCCCTCCACGTGGGGTGGTTTAAGTGGGCCTCCTGCACTGAGCACTGGCTTGGACCCAGCGGGCCTTTGCCCCCTCCAGTTCTAGCATGCCATCATTCTAGTCTGCGATCAACGCAGAGGAAACAAGGCCAGGGGCGGTATGGCATGTGCCAGTTCCCAGAGCAACCCACGAAGAGATCCAAAACTTTGTTTTCGGCCCTCAGCCATCCCTACCCGTAGCCGTATTTCCTATGGCCTTGCATTTTTGATAATCTGCTTAAGCTTCCTATATGGGGAGAATTCCAGGTTGGGAAGACTGTGCCCATTCCACAGATCTCAACCATCCAAAATCAGCTCAATCTTTTCTCCTTTAAAAAAAAATCAGGCATCTTTTATTTAAGGATCGGTAGCCGTCCAAGCAAATGGAGTGACACCCGCGTTGTTCAGGAAAGCCACATGAAAAAGGTGTTGAGAAGAAATCTCTTTTTATTTGCATAGGTTCAATGCCAGTCTACAGCATATATTTGAAACGAGGACAAAGAACGCCACAAATATGGTGAATGGATTAGCGAACACCGAGATGGATAACAACAGCCACTGTGACGCTACTGTAGTCTTACTAAAGAAAGGTAACCGAGTGATGGGGCTTGTTCGCAGAATGCTTCTTACGGGGGCTGATGGACCAAGAACTGCAGGCCGACCTAAGCATGGGCTCTGAACGGGGCTTTGCTGTCCGTCCTCCCGTTCTCCATACAGTTTCAGCTTAAAGAGCTGTTCTTGGCAACAACACGGGATCCCAAGATGTGTACAAAGCCATCTCCAACCTGGATCATGTTAACCTTGCGTGGGAGCACAATACATCTCTTTTGCAAAAAGGACGTGGTCCTGGAAGACAGGAGAAACATCACGGGTGTGCTCTCATTATTCCTAGTATTCCTCCTTGAGGTATGCGGGAATTCTTAGAGTAACGTTTTTGAAAAAGAGATCCATGCCACGTAGAACTTCACCTCTAAGTTTGGACCGCGTGGAAGATACTGGAGGGTGGGAGGGGAGACCCAGGTCAAACCCAAAATGTGCAAATTCAGTTACATGTTTCAGTTTAGGGGGTGAGGACTAAATTGACGACAGCTAATGGCAGGATTTTTCAAATGTGGGGTTGCTCTTGGCTGGTGACACCCATCCCACTTTTGATCCAGTGCGCAAGTTTGCACGGTTTTGTCTTGTTTTCCAAACCAGCAAAACTCAGGGTAACATGTAGAACGTGGGAAACGAAAGCAAATGTACTTTCGGCTCTTTTTGGAACTACTACCTGCCTGCAACTTGAATTGGAGGGGGTGTCATTCTCTAAAGCTAAAATCCTGGGAAACCTTTACCAGTCCAAGAAAAAGCCTTCACGTGGCACCTGAGGGCAGTCTAAAGGTGGTGTGGAACAGCCACTTTTAAGCATCCCCAGCTGTGAACTGGGCAGGTATCGATATATGTGCTCACACGGGGCTAATTCATCCAGCAGCTCTTCCAGGTAAGCACCTCGACTTTATTTGTGTTGTTTATTTAAAACTTTTGTATTCTGTCCCATCACAAATGTCTCAGGATGGTTCACAACAACAACAAAATAGAATGAAGATAAAAGTCGGGGTAGCGCAGCATCCAGAATTAGGTGTAAAACCACAGATTAAAACAAATTAGCAATTGAAATAGCGGGAGAATAAAAAGGTTTTCACTTGGCGCCAAAAGGAAAGAAGCGTTGGTGCCAGGTGAACCTCTCTGGGGAGCCGAGCTCGGCATGATTACTCACGAGGAAGCAGGAACGGCTCCCTCAGCCGGACTTCCAGCTACGTAGCTCCCCAGCGACCTGTCTCTGAAGGTCTGCTCACAAAGAAACAGGCTCCGATATTTGTGGGACTAAACCACTCGGCAGTTTTCTCTTCAGGCCTTTTCAGTGGTCTGCAGGGGAAAGTTTGTCTCTCTGATCAGCTGCTGATCGGAGAAAAGGGCTTTTTTTGGGTGGCGGGGAGAAAGCTGCTGACCTGGATGGACAACCCCATCTGGCCTTTGCAGCCGGAGTTTCCCGGTGCCACTGCCAAACCTTCCCGCGTCTTCGTTGAGACAGGTCTGCACTGTTGCAGTCCCCCAAAGCTCCGGATGCAAGCAAGCAACCTGCCATCTTGCTAGAAGAAAACAGGTCTTTATAGAGAAGTCACGCAGCTCAAAATCCCTTAATTACAGCCTAGAAGTGAGTTTTATGTGGAAGCAAACTAGGAAGCAAATAATTCCAGCTGCCTGCAAAAGCGATGCCAGGTAAGCAAAATGGCAGCTCCCTCCCATGAGGGGCTGAGTCGTTTAATTGATGTTCGTTTTGAAGAGTTCAGTGGGTTGTGGTCGGTCTTTTCCAGCAGAATTTTCCAGGTCTTTTACACCAAGCCTCTTCCCTGTCCAAGGATCTGGTCTATGAAGTTCTTGTACGCACGTCTTAGACTAGCTGAGCATGATAAATTGCCCTGTTTATATCTCGAACCCTGGGACGGCATGGCAGTAAAACTCCTGGCATCTCCTGGCTGTCTGCTTTGAATCAAGTTTTTCTTGTGTTGCAACTGGTTTTGAACCAGGGTTTAACTCCCAGACTGCTTGGTGTCATGCTCTCGCTGCAGATTAAGTTGCAGTGACTAATTCACTGTACGAGACATAAAAAGCTGCCGGATGGGCTTGCTCATGTGCGAGCCGCTGAGAAAAACTAGATTGCAGCAGTGCTTCCTGTGACAAACTCATAAATGTGGATAATAGGCATGCACCGGGGAAAGCAAAACTACTTCCCCAGATCCAGGGAGCCAGCGCGGCGTCGTGGTGAAGAGCATGGGACTGGGACTCGGGCGACCTGGGTTCGAGTCCCCGCTTAGCCATGGAGCCAACTGGGTGACCTTGGGCCAGTCACAGACTCTCAGCCCAGCCTACCTCACAGGGTTGTTGTTGTGGGGATAAGATGGAGGAGGAGAATGATGTAAGCTGCCTTGAGCCCTCTGTAGGAAAAAGGCAGGATATGCATTGAAAAATAAGAAATAAATAATAATAAGATCCATTCAGACTTGCGAGTTTTATGCTTTAAAACAACCCTTCCCAACCTTGTGCCTCCCAAGCATATTCAGACAGCAATACCCAGAATGCCCCCATCCCTGAGGGGTGGGAATTCTGGGAGTTGCGGTCCGAAGGCCGCCAGGTTGCTTTCAAGCCCTGTATGGCTCAGCACTGGGACACCTGATGGGCTCTTTTCTCCAACCCCAAACTTTCCCTAGGTGAGGCACACGCCAAATCCTCTTTAGTTGTGCCGCAGCTCAGCCGGACGCTGCCTCTGAAATGCTTATTTGCCCAGCTTTTTAGATACCAGGGTTGTGTGCACTGTTTCAAGCTGCCCCCTTTGCTTTCCCCTCCTTCCTGTTCTATGCGGATGTGATTCCTTCATTATGCTTTATAAAGTTGGGTGCTCCATGAGGTCTTATTCAGTGTGCAGGTGGGCAGTGCGCAACAGAACAAAATAAAACTCAGACCCAGCTGCGGCTCCCAGATGCGATACCAGATGCATGGCTGCGTCTCATGTGCTGGGTGCAGGGCGCAAACGCTCGCCGTCTTGTTTCCCGAGTTCGGCCGATGCCGTGCTTTGAAGCCAGGAAGGAACAGGAGCTTCGGGTTGGCACTGCCAACATGAGGCCCCTGATTTGAGAAGAATGAGTGCAGAAAGAATGGAGAAATCAGTTTAAGTGGCGCGTTTAAGCAAGGTTGCAGCCATAATGCCCCAGTGCCCCTGGACCTCTTTCGCCATGCTCAGGGGCCTGATGGGGCCGTGAGTGGGAGGCACGCTGCCTCTGGCCCCCGTGAGGTTTGTGCCCCTCCGCTCATTCCAAATGCCCCCCCCCCCCGGTGAGTTTTAATCGCAGATAAAGAGGAGCGCTTCCCGTCACTGTGGCCACAAGGCAGCCAACGCACCACTCAGGTCTCTGGTGCGGCCGGTGCCTGAGTGGGGAACGCCTGCCCCCTGCAGGCCTGCCGAAGAAGGGCAGGCTGCAGCGCACCCGCCGGTCCGCCCGCCTCGGGCTTAGTCGCCGCGTCGCCGGCACACCTGCGCTCCAAGGACATGCCTTCCTTGACGACGACAGCGATGGCCACCGCGATGGTGGTGGCCGTGGTGGCGTGGCTGATGCACGTGCAATCAATGCGTCCAGCGACCTCTGGAGTGCCCGGAGTGCCGCGCGTCGGTTATCCCGAGCGTCCGTGCAGGAGCCCCGCATGGAGTCGCCCCTGCATAGTGCGGAGGGAAGACGGGAGGCGGGGAAGTATTTTTCCCCTTCATGCACTCATGCAATTTGTGATCATCTAATGAAACTCACGGGCAGCACGTTCAGGGCAGACAAGAAGAAGCACTTTGCAGGAAAGGATACAAACGGCCAGGCGTCGTCATGGTGGCTGTTGACCTGGATGATGATAGTGTATGCATTAAACGCCTGTCCCAGCCATTCCTCACAATGCGATCAGCAGCAGCAGCAGCAGCAGCATCGTCCTGTCTTCATATCCCAGCCTTCCTCCTCTTGCAAGGAGCCCAAGGTGGTGCGCAAAGCCCTCTGTTTATCCTAACAACAACCCCCGAGTTCTTATATTCCTGGGAGGGTTACTTTTATTTCTCCCGGATTGAGGAATGAGGGCCTTGACTTGTACCACCTTGCATGTTTGTGGCCGACGGGGTGACATTTGACCGGGGACTTATTCCATTTATTTTTAGTTGGACTCTTATCCCTCCACATTCGCCAATAAAACCCCCTTTCTAGCTCACCTGTAACCCTTTTAGGCTGCAAGTACCTTCACACTCACCTGGGAACTAATCCTTTTGCACAGGGCACACGGAAGGATCGGATAGGGTTGCACTGTTTGCTCCTTTTCTCCTGGAAAATATTTCTAAAACCTCACCGTTCCTAACAGAAAGTGTCTGAAAAATAGGATGTCGCAACTACCCTTTTGCAAACCAAACTGTTGTTGATTTTGAGAGTCTCGTAAGGTCAGTCATAACCATTTTTAAAACTGCGGGCGTTAAATCTGTTGTGGCTTGTTAGGAGTTAGTTGACAGTGTGGCAGAGTGCCAGTTCGGCATCTGTGGGCCACACTGCCGCGGTCAGCCGTTCGGAGGCAGCCCTTCTGCCGTTCAGTCCATGTGCTGATCTTGGTCTTGCCATGGTCTTCAGCTGGACGAGGTCTGTAGGCTTCTGTGGTGTCCCTCAAAATTCTTTTGGGCTGGAGAGCGTCAAAGAGAACACATCTTTCTAGAGGACCGATGCAGCGGATGAAAGGAAAGTGTAGTGGTGAATGGACTTCACCCAGCTATTAAGGTGCCAAGATTCTTCAAAGCCGGACAAGTTTCGGGCATGTCTCAAATGGACCGAGTAATGATTGCAATCGGGTGGGGAACACCAATGCATGGTGGGCCTTTAAGATAAGAGAGCCGCCTGATGATACAAAATAATTCTTCCCTCCTGCTCTGTTAATTATCTTTAGGGAACTTCCACCGCAAAGCTTCTGTGATCATGGTGGATGAGTTGCTCTCGGCGTATCCACACCAGCTTTCCTTTTCTGAGGCTGGACTCCGAATAATGATAACGAGCCACTTTCCTCCAAGAACCCGACTCTCCATGGCCAGCCGAATGCTGATCAATGAGGTATATTCTCTCTTTTGTCCAAAGGATGCCTGCCACCCCGTCCCCTCTGCTTGCCTCCCTTCCTCTCCTTCAGCTGCAGTCTGTGAACTTGAAGCACGGAGGTTGCAGGAGGGACAACAGAGTGTCTCGGATGGCCATAGCTCAGACTGGGTGCCCGGGATGTTGATCACAGCAGGGCGAAACAGGGTTGTTTTGTGATTTCGTCGGATATCACTAAACGGCTTGGGACCAGGATACCTGAAGGAATGTCTTTTTCCCTATACACCCTCCCACCCCCAGAAGCCCCGCTCCAGGAACCCTCCTTGAAGGAGGCTAGGAGAGTGAACACCCGGAGGAGGGCCTTCTCTGTGGTGGCACACTGACCGTGGAATGCGCTCCCCAGAGAGGTTCGCCTGGCGCCAACCTTATATGCTTTTCGGCGCCAGGCAAAAACCTTTTCATTTGCCCAACATTTTAAGGCTTAAATAATTTTAATGTGTTTTTATTAATATTCTCAACTGCATTTTATCTTGTTATTGTATTCTTGGGTTGTCTGTATTGTTGTTTATTTATATTAATTGTAAGCCATCCTGAGACAATTGGATTGTATAGGATGGGGTAAAAATATCCTAAATAAATAAATAAAATAAAATAGGCTGCATGCAGCAATTGATACGCTAAGCAAGTGTCAGAAGAAGCCTCGCGATCGGCTCTGGCTTGCAGCGAGGGAGAGGAGGCACAGTGGCTGTGCTCACTGGGGCGAGGAGGAACTCTGGAGCCGAGGGATCAGCGGGCTGTACTGAAAGCCATGTGGTGAAAGAAGGAAAGCCCAAGTCCCCAAGGAAGTCGTTGGCACGCAGCCTTTGCTTGGCAGAGATCTGGGAACATGGTCCAAAAATATAATACTGCTTTGTGTGCAAGACAATGACGAAGGACCGGTCACTTCTGCTCCTAAGTTGTGGATGGAAAAGTGACTGAATGACAACAGGTCACCGGCCAAGCCCAACCACAAGCCGCGTCCTGTGTGCCGGGAGCCGGTGGTTAGCGTATCGTGCAGAGCAAACAATGCGCTATCTTATATTGTCCTAAATAAATCCTGCATAGAATGCTGCGCTGATGAAATAGGGAGAGAATTGGTTGTCAGCATTCAGTCCTGAGAGGCACTGCTCCTTCTCTCGATACTGAAAAGCCTTAAAAGTAAGGTTCACTCGTTCAGTGTTTTACTGAGTAGGTTAACCCACTGAAACTTGCGTTGATTAATTCCACGTCCAGTTTTAATCTGCAGCCTTTCAGGGGTTTACCGAGTGGGTTCATCAACTAAAATTAGCCCCCTCCCATTTTAATTGGTGGGATGGAAAACGAAGCGCGCGGAGGTTTGCTGCATGAGCCTCTTTCGGTTGCGATGGGGAACGTGATGCAGCGTGAGCGTGGACGTTTTCTTGCAAAGGGGATCCGTCCAGGCTTCGAGGATCCACAGGTATTTCTGGGCTCAACGAATCAATTCATTGACTGGTCCATGTTTGTTTCTAAAAATTAGACCATGATTTGCCTCTTCAGAGGGGAGCAAGCACAGCCTTTGTAAGGGAATATTGCGATTGCATGAATTAAGGCAGGGAAAAGCTTTGTGCGTCATGAATTTTCCAGGAATTTTGATGTCCCAAATGTCCCTTTCTTTCTTCCCCCAGAGACAAAGACTTATCAACAGCAGAGTGTACACCAACGGAGAGTCCGAGGTGTCCATCAAGGTCCCTGTCAAGCGCACCGTGGAGAACGGATTGGGACCCAGCAGTTCCGCTGACAAAGGGACAGGTGGGCTCCAGCAAGATGAGGAAGCTGCTGAAGCAGGGAATGAAACGGAAAATGAAAACGATGACCACGAAAATGATGAAAACGAGGAAGAGGAGGAGGAGGAAGAGGAGGAGGAGGAGGGGGGCCCTTACACGCCCTTTGATCCACCCTGTAAGTCATTCCCCTCTTTTACGTGTCTGTCTCTGCCTTTGCTGCTTCGAACCCTTGCCCTCGAGCGCTCTTGGAGCATCCCTGCAGGTGGCTGGGCTTGGTCTGCGCCCACTGACAGCACCCCGTCGAGAGGCTGAGTGAGAGGGCCTCAAATGGCAGGGCTGTCTCGACGAAAGCCCCCCGCCTTCCTTGCATGCAGTCCTGGCTAAAATTCATGCAAATTCTTTGTTCCATTTCATTGATTACATTTGTATGCCGCCCCATAGCCCGTCAGGCTCTCTGCACATCTTACAGTCAAACAGCAAAAAATATTCCACACAAATGCAATACTATGGTGCTGCAGAGACAAGCAGAGAGAGCTGGATGTTAACTCCACGCTTAACTCGTTTCACCAGTAGTGAGCAGTTTTCAGTGGTGGTTGGGAAGGTGGGACCCAAGAGCAGGGATCGTTTGCTGCTAAGGAAATGGAAGGTGAGCAGAATTCGGCCTTCCACATTCCCAGCTGCTGGGCTCCCCCTTCATGGACACAGGCCTGATTTTCCCTTGGCAAGCGTCATGGGGATCCCACAGCTGGCGAACACCTGCCTAGCAGCCTCGGGTGCTGGAAAAAGGTATGTGCACTTAATTCCGGCAGAATCCAAGAAGACTCTGCTGGGTTGGTGCTGAAAGGAAGTAGCATTGTTCCAAACTCTGGACTGATCCTGTGACTTGCAAAGCTTAATTGTGGTATTCTGTTAATGGGTCAGGTTATGAAGTTTGTTTGTTTATTGCATTTGTATACCACCCTATAGTCAGAAGACCCTCTGGGGAGTTCACAAAGCAATCTTAAACAATAATACAGATAAAAATAGAAAATACAGATACAAATAGAGGACAATAATAACCAAAACCATAAAACATGCTTGAGTAAAAGTACAATATAATACAACGGGATGGTAAACACAATATAAGCAATAAAACAGCAAACCAATAAAGCATTAAACCAACAGCAACAGCGATGGTCATAATCGAAAAACATGCTAAATAAAGACACCTTAGTTTGGCACTGAACGCAAGATGAAGTGAGGGTCAATTGCAGCTCCATCAGAAGGGAATTCCCAAGATGAGGTGTGGTGACGGAGAAGGCCCCTTTCCTCGCTGATTCCCCCGCCTCGTTTGGGGTGGGTTCACGAAGGATGACCTGAGTGATCTGGTAGGGACGTGTGGACACAGGCATTCCTTTAGATGTCCCGGTCCCAAGCCGTTTAGGGCTTTGCATGTTGGCGTGAGCACTTTGAACTAGGCAGCCAAGCCAGTTGGTGGAGGACCGGTGTGATCGTTCTCCAGGACTGGTCCTTGTCAGAAGCAGCGCAGCTCTGTTTTGGATTAATTGGAGAGCCCAGACCGTCTTCAAAGGCAGCCCCACGTAGAGCGCATTACAGTAGTCCTGGTTACCTGGAGAGGTTACCATTCCTCCAAGTAGGAACGCAGCTGGAAAATCAGCCAAAGCTGATAGAAGGAGCTCCTGGCCACTGAGGCCACCTGAGAAACAAGCGAGAGGGTCCAGGACCATCCCGAGCTGCAGACCATAGCCTTTATTTATTTCTTTAAAAATTTTCTAGGCCGTCCCTTGCCATGGTCTTGGGACAGTTTAATAAGACAATGTAAAATAAAATACAGCATTCTAATAAAATTTCCAACCAGCAATTAAACCCCAATTAAAGCAATCAAATCTTAAAACATTGTGAGAATAAAACAGTTTTAGCCTGGCGCCAGAAAAGAGTAAAGTGACGGCGCCAGGCGAACCTCTCTGGGGAGCGGATCCCACAGCTGGGCGCCAGTGCTCAGAGACTTGTGAATGCTCACATTTCCTGTGCAGAATAAAACGCTTGCAGGAAGAGCTGGAGAGACTCGGGAGTGGTGTCCAGCACCCGACAGGTGTGTGGCTGCCTGCGGTTTCCTCACACTGGAGCTGCGGCCGCACTGAGCCGCGCTGCGGTCGCTCGGGACGGACGGTGGCGAGCCAAGAGCGGCGCATTCACCCTCCGCCTTCGCCTCTCGCTCTTCTGCAGCGGGCGCAGCGGAAATGACCAAGTGGCTGCTCACCTGGCCGCTGTCCCTCCTCCTGTACTTCACCGTGCCCAACTGCAGCAGGCCCCGCTGGGAGAAGTGGTTCCTGGCCACCTTTGCTTCTTCTACGCTCTGGATCGCCGCCTTTTCGTACGTGATGGTATGGATGGTACGTATGGGGCCGGGGAACGCTGGGCACCCCTACTCCGCTTGGAGTCCCCGAATGGAGGAAGAGCCCCACTCGTGTCGACCGGTTTCCACTCCTTCCTCTCCCGTTTCCAGAAGAGGTTGGCCAGGTACTTCTCAGAAGAACAGGAAACCCTTCCAGATTTGCCTCCCAGCAAAGCCCACTGAGAGCTTAGTTCCGTCCTCTGCGAATTATTCGTTCTTTCATTTCCGTAGTGCCCCAAAGCCAAGCTCTTGGTGCAGTTCACAACCACTTGTGTGGCCTCGCTGCGAAGAGGTCCCTCTCGCGCCAGCCCCTGTGTGCGTTCCGCATGTTCCAAAGGAGAGGACATCTCAGCAAACATGTGGGGCGTGCGAGGAGGAAGGAAGGTGTCTGGGTGAAAGAAGGAAGGAAGGAAGGAAGGAAGGAAGGAAGGAAGGAAGGAAGAACGAACGAACGAACGAACGAACGAACGAGCAAACAAACCCTGAGATACTTTGAATGAGGGAGGAGCAGCCCCTTGTGGAGGAACTGTGGAGGAGAATTAGTTGAGGAGGTGTAAAGGAGTGGTGGGCTGTTCCCAAGAGCAGGGCCTTTGGAATTTGGAACGGGGTGGAATATTAAGAAAAAGGAGGAGATAATGGGCGTATGGGTCACTTAGACGGGAAGATAAAGATGTATCTCTGCATATCTGCGGCTGGACCCTCCTGAAGACACGGCACTGCTGTTTTCTGGGCAGGCAAGTAGCGTCCAGTGTCATTCCCGAAATGCAAACCAAGAAGGAACTAGAAACAGGCTTCTAGCTGCGTTGGGTTCCTGAAGGCTTCATGAGGCTTCTTTCTGTGCCCAAATATACGAGGGTTCCTTAGAAAGTTTCCACACTTCTTACAACTCTGTTCATTAAGAACTTCAAAAACAAATCACATCACTTCTCTATATCGTCGCCTTCCTTTGCGATGCATTTTTCCCAGCATCTTGCTGCCTTTTTAATGGCATCAGCAAAAAATATATAAAATATATTTATAAAAGTATGGAAACTTTTGAAGACCCTTAGTACAAACTAGAAGTCTGAGGAGGGCAATTGGCCTGAGCAGTGACCTTTGCTAGAATTTTCTTGGAATGCAGTTTTCACTGTACTTGCTACTAATAAGATAAGAAACTAGTGCTTTTGCTACATTAGCAGAGATGAAATACTCCCTCTTGCTCTGTCTAGTTCCTTGTGCTTTTATTTTAGGGGGTGCAGGGAGGATAGAACAGTAGGACAGAAGGGAAACGGGGAAATGTTTCAAGGGTGAGGAGGCGGTTCCCATTCTCTGATGAAAATTAATTTGAAGCATGTCTCTCCTCTTCTTTGGGTTAACGTTTGGGAAACAGGCACCATAAAGGCCTTCGATTCCATCAAAGAAGCCGCAGCCTGAAGCTGGCAAGAGCTGAGCGGGGTGGCCAAGGGAGGGGCACTTTGGAGAGCAGGAAGCCATCCAGGCTCAGTGGCAGAAGGCTCTCTAGAGTGTGGAGCACGGGTCTTGTGGAGCCAGAAGTCTGCCTGAAGGCTGGAGGAAGGCGGGGGGGAGAGAGAGAGGGAAGCCGCGCGGGTGGTGGGGCTTGGGGTGCCTCCCGCAGCAGGGGAGCTAGCTCCTCGCGGTGGGCATCCCCGGTGCGGGCGAGCTGGGCACGCTCCTGACGGCGGGCTCTGTTCCCCCAGGTCACGATCATCGGCTACACGCTGGGCATCCCCGACGTGATCATGGGGATCACCTTTCTGGCAGCCGGGACCAGCGTGCCGGACTGCATGGCGAGCCTCATCGTAGTGCGGCAAGGTGCGTCTGGGGCGCCGTCGCGAGGAGCCGCGAGCGCCCCTTGCGGAGCAGAACGCTTCCTGCCACACGGCTGAGGGGCAGGAAACCGCAGGAGACGTGCTTGCACCCTGGAGGGACTGCAGATGATACCAGTGGCCTCGGATTAAGTCCAGGGGGCGAGCGGGAGAAGGCGGGGCACGCGGTTCCCCCAGTCTCCTTCCCTGCCCTGCCCTTTGCCGCGGGCGGAAGCCGATGTGTGAACCAGACCATCCTGCGCTGACTCAGTGCAGGCCCTCGTGAAGCTGCAGGACCGGCTGTGGAGGGCGCATATTTCGCATGCATTCCCATGCAGGCATGCCCAGCCTGGGGCTGAGGGGTTCTGCGTGGATGCGTGACCACGTGATGCCTTTGTCGCTTTAGACATAAATGCAGACGATGTACGCCGAGGCAACATAGTTCTGATTTCGTGTATCCCGCAGCAGGGACTAGCCAGGAAAAAGACCTCTGGGAGGGTCAAAGAAGGCAGCCACGTAATTTGCGATGTCGGGGCAAAAGACGAAACCCATGCTAGGAATTGATAGAACGGGGCATGAGGAATTCTGTTGGGCAATCCTTCCAGTTAATGCGTGCCGTTGTTTTTTCAGGAATGGGCGACATGGCTGTGTCCAACTCGATCGGAAGCAATGTTTTCGACATTCTTATCGGTCTTGGCCTCCCATGGTCTCTGCAGACTCTGGCAGTAAATTACGGCTCTTACGTAAGTCCTGGGCTTAGCTGAACTCCCTGTTTTTAGAGAGACGCTCCTTTTCAGTGGTTAACTGAATCTGCAGTCGTGTGTGGGGAAGGGCATGCATTGAGATTTGTGGGAAATTATGGTATGTCATCTGTTAATATATGCAAAGATTTGCCCGTGAGTGTGTAGATTCCTATTCAAATACATAAATAAGAATTAGAAAAAGGCGAGGGAGATGCCTATGAACAGGAAAATTTTCTCTTGGCATTGAATGGTATGCCAAGCTTTAGAGTAAGAGGCTTCTGAAACATGTAGGGGTTTCTCTGTAATTGGAGAGTCCTCCTCTTCCTATGAAAGTAGGCCTCTAAAGCACCTTGCTTTTTCACGCTCTGGGTCCAAACTAGCCAAAATTATCTGTACCTCACATGCGTACCTCTCAGCTCCATATTATTTTCCACTTGTTCAGCAATTGGCAGTTCATACAAGCTGCTTATTAGCTGTTAATTTATTTTATTTATCTTGCATTGCGATGCTACATTAGCCAGGAGGTCTACGATGCTGTGCAGAGTCATTTGGCTGCTGTTAATTGTGTATATGCAATTAGTTTATGGGAGGTCTACCCAGTCCATCGTTTCAGCCTCGCAATGAAGCTGTGATGTGTGTTGTGGTGAAACCAGGAACGGCTGGCTGGGGACCCAAACACAACTTCTTGGTGCCAGATTAGATGTGCTGGAAGATTCTTTTCTCAAAACCTGCACAGATGAGTAGCATCAGTAACTTGCATGTCACGGTCCCGCTAGTGGAGGGAGGGACACGCTCTGAAAATGCGGTTTGTGCAAATCAGACTCTGCGAGCCAGCCAATTGGCTTGTCTGCTGCTCATTACAGAGAGAAGCTGGTGGCTGGCAGTGAAATCTTTTGTAACCAGCAGTGGGAGCTGCTTCGGGGCTCTTGCATTCCCCTTTCCCTGCAGATTGTTCTTGGGGACCTGCTCCTCCTGGTTTTCTCATTCGCGGGGCTTTTGCTCTTAGGGTTGAGCAGTTCTGTTTTGCTTCTGCCCGCAACAAAAAGCACAACCGTGGCACTTGAAGTGCACCTTATGCAACGCTTCAACCCACAAATATTTCTCTCCCGATTCGTCTGTTCCGTGAGAAAGGTGCCAACGAAAATTCTTGCCCTGCAAAAGCTGGACTTTGTTCCAGGAAGTGCAGCTGCAATGCCTCCTGCGGGCAGCTGAGAATCCAGAACGGGGACTGCCGACAGTCCAGGGAAAGTCTCCCCAGAGAAATGAGCCTTCCTGGTTTGGCAGAAAAGCCATTTAGATCTGGCGTCCAGCAAGACTACAAAGAAACAGATGGAGGGTTTGTCAGTGGCGCAGGCAAATTAAAACAATGTCCCCGTACTTCTGATAGTTTGCTCCACACTGTAATGATGGCACATTAAATAATACAAAGTTGAACAGGGCAGTGCTTACTCATTTTTGCTTCTTGGGCCATTTTCCTGGAGAAGCTGGACTATTCCAGGTCAGATGGTTTGTCCATCTATGTAGCTTGTCTTCCTGGAGAAAGGGCTCTTCTACATTAGGCTGTTAATTTTCCGTAACTACGTTCGGCATTATCACAGCTCTGAGATCGGAGTATTAGACAAGCTGCCATCCCTTTCCTGCCTTCTGGCGGTCTTTGCTGGTGTGCTGGCTAAAGTCCTGAACCGGGGACCTGGGGTGTCCGGGTCCGAGTCCCCACTCAGCTCACTGGGCGGCTTCAGGCCAGTTACAGACTGTGACCTACCTCACAGGGTTGTTGTTGTGAGGATAAAATGGAGCTGACACTGCCTTGGGTTCCTCACGAGAGGAAAAAAGACAGGATATGCCTTGTTTTGTTATATTTGTTGGGGGGTTTTTATTTTCTTGGAAGCCATCCCAAGATGCTTATAGTGGAGGGCCTAGAAAAGCTTTTCATAAATAAATAAATATAAATGAAATATAGTCATAGTAATATATGATGACTAATAATGAGAGCCAGGGTGGCGTAGTGGTGAAGAGCATGGGACTGGGACTCAGAGGATCCGGGTTCGAGTCCGCGCTCAGCCATGGAGCCAACTGGGTGACCTTGGGCCAGTCACAGACTCTCAGCCCAGCCTACCTCACAGAGTTGTTGTTGTGGGGATAAGATGGAGGAGGAGATGTAAGCTGCCTTGAGCCCTTTGTAGGAAAAAGGCAGGATATAAATCGGAAAACAAACAAACAAATAAATATAACTGAGGTGTCACTTTGGTATAGTGGGATAGCGCAAGAGGAAAACGCATTTTGCATTCACAATTAAATGCCATGTTTTCCCAGCTCGGAAAACACTTGCCAAGCGTGTGGATTCGACACGGGAGCAAACCGGGAGGGTCACAGCAGCTTCTCCGGGATCTCTGAACAGCTCGGCAGGGAAAGAAGGGCACACGGCGCCACGGGGAGAAGCAGCTGTGAGCGGCTAGGGCAGACCCTGCGGTTCTCCCCCTGCAAAGCAGGTGCTCTGAGGACCGAGGCCCGCTCTTGAGTGCCCGTGTCGGCACCTTTGGGGGGGCACCTTTGTGGGGGACAGTAGCCAGGCGAAGCGGCGATCGCCCACTTCACGGACGGCTCTGTCGTGAGGACATCCCCCGACGCGCCCCTCTGGCACAATGCACCAAACCCCGAACCGCTAACCAGAAGGGTCACGTCTCACCTGAACATGAGCTCTGTCTGCAGCCCCAGACTCTGCTTTCCTGCTTCCTCCCGCCCTGCCCCACATTTGCACCTCCGTGCTCCCAGGCCCACAGGGTGTGGGGAATACAGTGGGGAAAGAGGGTGCAAAGCGGCCGACCCCCTCAAACCAGGCAGAGGGGGCCCGTCTGATATTCTCCCCCAAGGACCATCTCCTCTGCTCACTCCCATCAATTAGGTCAGTCAGGACCCCTAGGGCAGGGCATGGGCTTCCACGGGAGGCGGTTGAAGCCCCATCGGTGAGGGTCTTCAAGGCTGGACAGGCACATGGTGGTCATGTCAAGAGTGGAGCTGGCTGGAGCCGGGGGTCAGACTAGATGGCCCAGGAGGTCCCTTCTGACTCACTCTGTTTCTCTGCTTCTAAGTTGCCTACAGTTGGTATGGGCTGTTTGTTCCCTGCCCACATTCATGGTTTCTACCCCCTGATTGAAAAAACAAACCCACAAGCAAGAGGAGAAAAGATAGGATGCTGCTAAGGAACCCACAAACTGAGGAGGGGCTTGCCAAGCTATGCTCCTTCCCTGCATAACTCTACAAATTTCATTCGTGGATCTGGAAATATTTATTAATCTGCTTTGCATCCACATGTCTGAACGCTTCCATTTTTTAAAACCCGGTTCAGAAATAGCTGAAAAGACACTACCGATGTAACACGGGGCGTCATTTATTGGCCTGGCAGCAAATAGATGACTCTGGTGAAGACAGTCGCGATGTGAATGGCTTATTCGGTTGAGGATGGCGATGCGGACCAAGGAGAAAGTCCAGCTGTTGAGCAAACAAGAGGCGCATTGTTCATGGCACATGAACTTTGGTCCTCAGAGTGATTTTGTGGCGACAGACAAATGTTTTTCCTCTCCTCTTTCTGTGCATCTGTCAGTGCAGCTGAGCCACCGTGCTCTACGCGTCGACCCCTCACCTTTTGAAGAAGAACTGGGCTCCGCTGGTTTTCCTTTGAGGCCTGCGAACCGGTGGCAGCTTGCCACTAAAAATATTCTCGGGTCTAATCCACACAAAAGCACGCCGATCTTTACCCTGACGATGTGTTTCATGTAGACGAACTTGCTAAACACACAGCTCGCTAGCAGCACCCCGAACTCCTGCTGCAGCTTCATTAGAATCTCTGCTGTAATTTGAATTTGAATTATTATCTGCATCATTTTAATGCTGGCCATAAAGCTTGGCTCTTTTTCTAGCAAGGTGGAGTTGAATTTTAAATACATCTGCAGACCGAGAATACCCTCCTTTGAAACTCTGTGGCTGTTCTCACAATGTGGCATTGTGTTCGATCTAAATTGATGCTTGCTTTATAGCTCCGTGATTACCGTTTTATACTGTGTAGATGCCGATTGGGGCAGAATGAGCTACGGACCCTTAAAGCCGTGGCATTGCTTTTTTCAGATCCGACTGAACAGCCGAGGGCTCATCTACTCCGTGGGCCTGCTGCTGGCGTCAGTTTTTCTCACCGTAAGTATACGAGCCCGTCGTCGCTTTGTTCTTCGGGTGGATGATGGGTCCACTGGGGGAACCCCTGGTTGGGCTGGCCGGCTGAGTCACGGGGAGCCTGTTCTGCGGTTCCAGGTCCCTCTGCCAGCTCACGTCAGCCCGAATTCCGCCCCCGCCTCTGTCCTCCTAGGAAATCCTTTTTCTCATCCGTCGTAGGTGTTTGGTGTTCACCTGAACAAATGGAAGCTGGATAAGAAGCTGGGCTTTGTGTGCCTTTCCCTGTACGGCATCTTCTTGTGCTTCTCCATCATGACCGAGTTCAACGTCTTCACCTTCGTGAATCTGCCCATGTGCAGGGAACACTGACCCGAGGACAGGCTGCCGCGAGATCCCTGCCTTCCTTACCTGTGCAATACGGAACGCGGCTGGCGCCTCCAGGCCGTGCGCGGTGCCCGGTGACGGCCGGGGAACGCACCTCCTCTTCCCGTTCTGGTTCAGTCCCTTCTCGGCCGCCCCTTCGCACGGACAGACACCATCTCGGGACCCTCTTCCTGCACTGATGTGAAGATGTAAACCCTCGGAACGGGGATTGCGGGCTAAACGGACTAACGTCGACCTGGCTCTGAGCCAGAGAAACTGAACTTCCACAGTTTCTTTTTTTTAACTTATTTGATGGAAGACTAATCTAATTTATGAACTGAAACTATAGCTAGGATACAAAGAAGAGGATACATCCCACTGGGTGCTTCTTTCAGGAAATGGAAGGAACTGACTCTGTCCTTTTCCCCCGGACGAGCCCTCTTGCAGCTTTCCGCAAGCCGCTCAAAGTCCCACGTGCCGCTGCGGAGGCAGAGTTCTAGGTGCTTGTCCACAGGCACGGAGCTCGCGCCTCTTGCAGGAAAGCGCAGGCGCCGACGCAGTGACTCCCGTGCCTCCTCGGAGGGATTTCGGAGGACTCCGCCTGCAGAGTTGGGCACCACTGCCATTTTATGCTCAACAGCGAGATTCGTTGTATCGCCAAGCAATAGTTTTAGGCCCGGTTGTCGGAGGGGCAGTCCTGGTTGCTAACGGTCGGTCATTTGGGGTGCCAAACCCGGGACTGACCCCTGGTTGCTTTTCCGTGTTTTTAATTTGTGTGGCACTTTTAGATCGAAAAGTGCTTCTGTCCCTCACCCTCTTTGCCCTCTCTGTACTTCTGCAAGGTAAGTCATTAGTATTCCGGTAGGCAAACTATTTCTGTCAGGAGGACAAGAGGCGGAGAAGAACGGCGGCGCGAGAGGCAGCGAGTGTGTTCTGGACTGAGTCCGAGTGTCCTGGGTCCGTGCCCACAGAGCCCGGTTGATCTCCCGACTGGCTCTCGCTGTCCTAAAGGGCAGGAAAGGGGGGAAGGTCTGCATTCATTGGGAAGGGAGGTAAATGGCACACATTTTTTTAAAAAGAAGTTGTATACACTGGTTTCCGAAAGGCATAATTTGCACAGATGCTTTTGCTGCCATTCGTCATGTTGCAAAGGATACACTGGACTCGATAGGAGGTTGCTTTCATCTGGCAGAACCGGTTGGGAAGCTCTCCTGCACACGCCTCATTTCAGGAGAGCTTCCGCACGAGTCCTGCCTTCTACCGCATGCAGAATCGCTTACAAGTTACCCCACGGTTCCTCGGGGGCTGGGGCGCTTTGAGAGCGTCCGGGGCCTCCTGGCACGCCATCCATCCCACTGCTGTCCACGTCGTTTGCGCCATGGATGTCACTCGTTCACTGACGGTCAGGCGAGGTGCTTTGCCGCTCACCTCTATAGGCTGGGGACCGATGGTCTCACGGGGCGGTTTTGCCTTGCGTGGCACCTGCCTTCTGTGCAAGGGGGGGCTTTCTGCTGGGCAAATATCGGAGATCTGCTTGATCTGTGTTGCCCACGAGGCAATTATTTAACAAACAGCAGCCAGCCGGTGTGGGGGCACCGACACGAGTTCCTGAGCGAAACCCTCTCCATTAGTTTGCACTTTTACCCGCGAGCACTTCAAAATGACTATTGTTGGGATAAATAATATGAAATAAATGGTTCGTATCTGCTCCCTCCCTTCATTACAGCACCTTGCTTTCACTCATGATGTCCACGGAGAGCATTTAGTAGCTCCTGGAGCTCTCCTTGCATTGGGAGTCAGGCACATCCGTAGCACCGATGAACCATCTTATTTTCCTCAGTGCAAGTGACGTGTGCAAACATTTGTGCGATTTAAAAGGGGGGGTGCGTCGGTCTTCGGTGCGCGAGTGTGAGCTCGTTGTGAGCGAAAAGAAAAGCCTCGCCTGCTCAGCATCGTGGCACGGGGCTCCTGCGGTGTGCGCCGGCCACAGGCCCTGGCGAGCAAGGCGCTGCACGGCCGCTGTGCCACTCGCACCTCGCTTGAGGGCGGCAAACGGCGAGCCCTTGGGGGAACCGCAATGCCGGCATGAGAGGATTGCCGGGGCGGGAAGGGGGGAGGCTGTGGCAGTGGCCCTACGGGACCAGGAGCGGCGCGGGGAGATGGGCCCCAGGCTGCAGCTGCAGGTCCACTGAGATGCCCTCCGTGATTCCAGCCAGGGCGGACTCTTCTTTTCAGGGGGGGTCGCTGTGTCACGTGGACTCAATCATGGCTGTAGTTCAGTGGAGAAGGGATGGATTTATTCACATTTCTCCCCTCGCTTTCTCCCTCGTTCACCCAGATGCACAGATAGACGCACTCCCTGCTCTTCGGGGTTCCATGTCACACAAGTTACATGGTCGGAGCTCCTGTGCCGATAGGCAGGTTTATCCAAAATATTCGACGGCACCTCTCCCGAAGGGCCCCCCTTGCTTTAGACCAGTGGTTCCCCCCTCCCGCCCTCCCACCTACATTCTCCTGCCTTCTGTTGATTTTTGACCACATCAGAGGGAAGATCCTGTGAGTATTTGTCATGGACCTGTGGGCGGTGCAGAGATCCTAAAGTATCTGTTAGGACGCACTTGGTTCACTTGGGAAACTGGCCATGTTCTTGAAGGCTTCGGTGGGAGCGCACCCTAAAAGATGGTCCCACGATCACCAGTCTTCTCATTCAGGACCCCCTAATAGGGTGCAGTGGAACCCTCGGACTTCCCAGAATGCAGTTGGAGATGCCCCATGGTTGGCATCACCTGTCATAATTCAGTGCTTTAAATTTGATCTTATAATTCAGCCTATTTCCTTTAATCCAATTTAGCACCCAAAAATTACATCTGCTTTTTTAAAAGTCGCTCTTTGATTCGGAAAGCGAATTCAGTCAGGATCTGTTCCCTCAGAACCTCTTCCATGGATTTGCAGGGCAGCTCCAACGGAGTCCGGTGGATCTGTGTCTGTGAAATAGCCTTCCTCTACCCTCTGGTACAGCAGCAAAGGGACGTTTCACGACGGAGGCCATCAAATATGAGACATCCCTCGCTGAATTACCAGCACGAAAGCAAATTACGAGCTGGGAAGGCGCAGCGAGGGTTGGGAACACCAGGACGGAAAGCGGAGCTGCGTGTCCTCCAGCCCAGCATCCCCGGCGCCTGCTTCAGGAGCTGCAGTTGGGGCCCCCAGGTCAGCCAGGGGAGGTTCCGCTGAACAGACCGGGCGGCCGTGCCCAAGGCTCCGACGGCTCCGCGGACTCCCGGGGTCGAAGTCCCCTTTCGTGTCTGAGGAGCTCCGAGAGGGTTGGCCGCACCCCGGCGTCAGTCAGCCCGTGACGGGGCGGGACCCTTGGCAATGGGGGCCAGTGAGCCTCCGTGCGTGAAGTGTGGGAGCATTACTGCATGGGTGCCAGCGTGGGAGCCAACATTTGGCCCACCTTACGGAAGTGACGTCGGTGCGGATCGAGATCCGGCCACCGAGCTGGGTGTGCTCCCACTGTGCACGCTGAGTTACTTGGGAGGGCCGTGCCAAGCAGCGCGGGAGAGTGAATTAACCCCGGTTCATGATGGCCTTTCGAGTCCACCCTCATATAAGTCCTGTTAAAAGGAATGCGATTGATGTAGAATTGAGCCAAAACTATGCAGGCACTTTCATTTCCGTTATTTATGGATAATGGTCCTGATTCTGCTGACTTTCTTACAGCCTCTTGATACTTCAAGTCTATTTCCCAAAGTAACCATCATGTATCAGGTTTAATGACAACTACAGATGTCTTTTCTTTGTTCCTGAGCTAAAATTAGCGGAATAGTCTTACAAACCAAGTTGTGAGCAGCTTTAGCTTTTGGAAAGTGTTCTTGGACCGTACTACTGAAAGGTCTTGCTAGTAGCTACAACAGTGGAATCACTACTTATAAAAAAGGGGTGCGTGCCAATAAACTGGTTGCACACACAAAACAGTTTGCCTAATTTTCATCAGAGCTGTTCTAGGGAATGCCAAACATTTGAAATCCCTCCCATTAGCAGTTCTTGGTAGAACTGGGTTTAACTGCATGCATTTCTCGCTGTTGACGCTTTTCTCCTTGAGTGTTCGGACAAGATTAAGAACAGCAGGGCTAGGATGTCAGAGTTCACCCCAACTGCCAAGGCGCACACTGTCCCAACGGTGTCGTGGGTAGGGCTTTGTTGGATTTAAGTCAGCATGGCGTTGCTCACGAAGCATTCACGATTGTTGGCCTGATGTAATACTCCTTGTGTCCCAGTATATAGTCGTTAGGCAAATTAACTTTGCATTGCTTTTCTGATAGGTGTAGCAGGAAACCCGTTGGAGTACACAGACTCCTAGGAAAGACGAAAGCTGTATTTTGCAGGACGTGTTGCACTATCTGGCAAGTTGGCATTCGGGGATTGCTTGACGTCGTTCTGTCCAAGTCCACACAGTAACTACCGCTTAGTTCAAGGCGAGTGTGTCCCATGTAACTTACGTACAGAACGCCGTGTTCGCCTAAAGCCTGGCTCAGCTGAATAGTCAGGCTAAATTTTCTTAGATGCTTCTCCAGAACATTCTCACAATTAGGTAATACTCGCTTTTTTCCTGTCTGCAATTATAAAAAGGGAGAATGAATATTTCAAATGGTTTTTGTAGATAAACAGGATAAGATTTTTTTTGTTTGCTTGTAACAAGCCAAGAGTTTGTGCCAATATGAGGAGGTACATCACACTGGCGTGCAAGAAGACGTGAGCTGACGTTAGTTGTGTAGCTGAACGGGGCAGAAACCTGAGTGCGGATCCCGAGGAGGCGGGAAAAACGGGCTGGGCAGGAGTCTGCTCAAGTCGGGCTGCAAAGAGGATCCTCTGGATCCAAACAGCATCATAGAATCATCAAAGGGGCCATGAAGGCCACCGGGTCCAACCTGCTGTTGCAGGACACCAGTTTATACCATCCCACGCAGAGGGCTGTCCAGTTTCTTTGGAATGTCTCCAGTGGGGGAGAGCCCCCACCCCTCCAGGCAGCTGTTTCCACTGTCCCATTGCTCTGACCATGAGGAAGCTTTTCCTGGTGTCCAGCCTGAATCTGAGTTGCTGCAACTTGAACTGAGTATTCCATGCCCTGCACTCTTGCCAGAAGAGACCTTGACCTTCCTCTTTGTGGCAGCCTTGGAGGCACTTCTAGAGGGAGATCACATCCGCCCCCAGCCTTCTCTTCTCAAGGCTGGACATGCCCACCCCTGGGTCCAAACAGAATCCTGCAAACCTGCCTAGCCTTGGGTGGGCAGTGTTGGGGGCTGCACCGCATGAATGGCACTCAGGGCAAGAGCAGTAAGTGGCCCCTTCCCGACTGCGCAGGCTGCCTCCTCAGCCCAAAGGAAGGCGAGTTCTGAGGGTTGGCTCAGCAAGGCCTCGGGGATGGGCTTTTGCCCTCGGTCCGACCCACTCAGGGTTCTGGCAGGATGGCGCTGAGGCCCAGGCAGGCCCCTTGCAGTGCCGTGGGCTCTCTGCGAAGCTTGTGTTGGCAGAACGAGGCAGCCCGGGAGCGTGGCTTCAGAGGCGCATGGAGACAGGTGCATTACGGAGCGGTGCCGCGTCGGCATGCAGGTCGGGGGCCTCTTTACGCTTCCGCGTGGCTTTTGAATGCTTTTCTCTTTGATCTTCCGTGTGGAAAAGCCGAGCAGGACGAGGCCGGATGCTTTTCCCTCTCTGGTGCACTTGTCTTGTGCCTGCACACTCTTTGAGGGTTGGTTTCACCTCTGGGAGCACTGCAAATCCTCAGGCATCTTCTGCTTGTGGCGGAGGTAGACCAGCTCCCCAGTATGCCGGTCCGCACACCTTGAATTAGGGCTCCGAGTTGCTGGGCTGGTTCCACGCTTGTTCTGCCTTCATTGAGAAAGAAACTCCGTATTTCCCAAAGAATCTTGATGGACAGACTCCTTCCCCATTCCTGGCCTTCTCGCTTCATGTTTTTCCTGCGTTCCACCTCTTCTCCTACAGGGGTCCGCCAAGGACTGGCTTCTGACTCCTAGTTCATAGGATGGGCGAGCTGGCCCTCCATGAGGCTGAGTGATGCCGTCACCCCAGGCAGTCGATATGGGGCTGGCGGCCTCCTGGCCGCCCCCCCAGCCCCGCCCTCCTCACCTCCTGTCCCGGGGACCTTACCTGAGGATCACCCAGTCCTGTCGTCAGTGCTGAAGCGAGATGCAAGTCCCAGTGTGGCTGGAAGGAACAGGGATGGCCGTCTCGCCCTTCCGCTGCGGCAGGAGACTGTCGTGGGCCACCGCCCCAAGCCATGCGGCTCGTGACCACCTTCCTGCGGCACTGGCATCCTCCCGGCGCAGGCTGCGATCGGCAGCACCGAGATGCCCATGGAGGCACAGAGGCGGCCAGGAATCCCGTTACCTCTCAGAAGGTGTCCTCATCTTTGCTCTGAACGTCTCTGGGCAGGGCGCACCATGGGAAAGCGCCATACAAGTGACGCTGAACTTGCAGAGTCCGTTGGCCACGATCCTCAAGCACGTGCCGCCCAGTTCATAAAGAGATCTGTGGTGCCTGGAGGAAGCTGTGAGCAAGCGAGAGATCGCTCCTGGGAAAGCACACTAGGAAGGGCAGCGTGACGGACCGAATGAGCGGTCCTCAGAACGTCTCAACCACGTGCCACCCAGGTCAGGTGGCCACTGTGCATTTCCCACTGAAAGGGCCATATATTAAGGTCAATGCGGATAGCTCAGAGCCTGCAAAGTCCAGGCCAAGCCCCCAAATTCTGAAACACATTCCATGAGGTTTTAGACCAAAACAGTGCAAATTAAGCAGAATATGCTATTTTTTAAAAACCTTTTCTTAGCATGGTCGTAGCTCAGTGTTGTTCATGGCCCTTCTGGAAAGGTAACAAACAATGTTCGTTTTGCATATGAGGCTATATTAATTAAAAAGGCTGTCTGGGACAATTGCTTCTAATCACCTACAAG